GTCAAAGAGAGAATCTTAAAAGCAGCAAGAGAAAGACAGTCAGTTACCTACAAGGGAGTACCCATACGACTGTCAGCTGATTTCTCAACAGAAACCATGCAGGCCAGAAGAGAGTGGCAAGAAATATTCCAAGTGATGAATAGCAAGAACCTGCAACCAAGATTACTTTATCCAGCAAAGCTATCATTCAGAATAGAAGGTCAGATAAAGAGCTTCACAGATAAGAAAAAGCTAAAGGAGTTCATCACCACCAAACCAGTATTATATGAAATGCTGAAAGGTATCCTTTAAGAAGAGAAAGAAGAAGAAAAAGGTAAAGATACAAATTATGAACAACAAATACGCATCTATCAACAAGTGAATCTAAGAATCAAGTGAATAAATAATCTGATGTACAGAATGAACTGGTGATTATAATAGAATCATGGACATAGAAAGGGAATGGACTGACTATTCTTGGGGGGGGGGGGGGGGGGGGGGGGGGATGTGGGGACAGGGACACATATGTAATATCTTAATCAATAAAAAATATATTAAAAGTTTAATTTTGAAATGATTTTAAATTGACAGAAGAGTTACACATAGAGCACAGAGTTCTTGTATCCCCTTCACTTGGCTTTCCCTAAGACTAACATTTTCATAACCACAGCACATTTGTCAACACTAAGAAATTAATATTGGTGCATTACTACTAACTGATCTACAGACTTCAGTCATTTTTCACAGCTTTTCCACTTAATATCCCTTGTGTTCCAGCACTAATTCCAGGATCCCAGATTTAGTCATCTCATCTCTTTGGTCTCTTCCAATCTGTGACAGTTGCTCATTTTTTCCTTATTTTTAATGAATTTGACACTTTAAGGGTACTGGTCTCTACATAGGGTTTGCCATAAGAATTAAATGAGGTAACCTGCATAAAATGCTTAGCAAAGTGTCTAGTGCACAGAATATTCTCAATAAATGTTAGATAGCTTCCATCTCTTTCCACTATCCAGTGGTATAACTACCGAGACTCCATGGAGTGAAGTTACTTGCTTTAGGGAAAGTACGTGCTGGGTTCTGTTATTGCGAGGCAGGACATGGGACTTGGCTTCCTTATCATATGTTTTCCATTCTTTTTTTCCCTTCTCTCAATGCAGGGCTTACCACCCAAAAGATGGAAGGCAGATGTTACACACCTGAGTTGCCCGGAGCCCACAGTGTTTGCTTTCTCACCTGTGGCTCCGCATCGGAGCGCTTCTCGAGAGATGTGGATACCCAGCTTCCAACAGTCCAAGAGAGAAGCCCAGGCACTAAGATGGCTGGTCGATAGGAATCAAAACTTTTCGGCTCAAGAGTTTTGGGGCCTAGTATTCAAGGACTAATTTAAATAAGTATCAGACTGATAGAGTCTACAGAGTTCCAAAGGTTTACTTTCTAGGTTGCCTTAATATTTGAATATCATAGCCACTCTGTTGACTACCCTTTAGGATGAGAATTGCCGCAGTACTCATAATGAGCCCGATGACATAATAGATATAAACTATCCTCAGGGGTCACCTCTGTATTTTTTATACTCAAAAGGTAAATACAGTAGTTTCCCCCCAACCCTCTTATTTGTAGTTTCGCTTGCCATGGTTTAAGTTACCCACAGTCAACTGCAGTCTGAAAACAGTAAATGGAAAATCCAGAAATAAGCCATTCGTATGTTTTAAATTACTCGCCGTTCTGAGTATCTGATGAAATCTCGCGAGGCCTTCATCCCTGGCGGACGTGAATCATCCCCTTTCCAGCGTCTCCACGCTGTTTACGCTGCAGACGTGCTCTCGCATTAGGTCGTCCTGGCCGGGTTATCAGATGGACTGCCGGGCGCTGTAGGGCTTGCGTTTAAGTCACGTTTAGTTTAGTCAGTAATGTCCCCGGAGCGCGGGGTGCCGGTGCTGCTAGCTGGGGCGGGCCACGGGGAAGCCGTGCAGTGCTGCCTTGCAGGGAAAAGCGGAAAGTTCTCAATACTTTTTATGGTCTCACGTCAAAAGAAGAAGGGTGAGTACAGTACGATAAGATATTTTGAGAGACCACATTCACATAACGTTTCGTACAGTATATTGTTACACTTGCCCTAGTCTATCATTAGTTACTGTTGTTCATCTCTTACAATGCCTAAGTTATAAATTAAACGGTCATAGTATATATCTATCTATATCTGTATCTATCTATATCTATATATCTATATATCTATCTATATCTATATCTCTATCTCTATCTCTATCTCTATCTCTATCTAAGGTTTGGTCCTGTGTGTGGTTTCAGGCACCCGCTGGGGGCATTGGAAGGCATCCCCTGAGGATAGGGGAGGTTACTGTATTTTTCATGGACACTGATCAGCTTCATTGTGCATGTTTGCACCCATGTAGAGTGAACGCTTTCCTCGCTGAAAGGGAGGGATTCCTGGTTCCTCACTCGTTGCAGTTTATTGGCGTTTGGCAAACGCCGTGTCCTGATGCTGAGCGGGAACTGAAACGCGTGAGAACTTGGCAGTGAGAGATTCCGTCTGTTGGTTCCGGGGATGTGAGTGAGTTCTAAAAGCTGTGTGAAGTTGATCCTTCTACTCTTCAAGTCGAAAGGACATGGCCCGTCTCTGGCTTCTCCATACTCAGGCACCTCTGTTAACTTTCTGGTTTTCATTTTGCCCTGTGTCCTCCCGATCCCCAGAACGGCAGAATGCTTTGTGAAGACGGTTCTCCTTCGTGTGTGTGTGTGTGTGTGTGTGTGTGTGTGATCAGCGAGATGTTCCCAGCCATCCCTGATACCGCTGAGCAGAATAATAAGTGTATGATTCGGCTGGACAGCCTGTGCATTTTGATCAATGTGAGGGTGGAAGTGAATGCCCCTGGGAGCTCCAGCTGTGTTGAAGCTGATTTGTCTTTTCTCAGGATGATAGACGGCCTGCTGTGGTGGGCCTGTTGGTTTGTGCGCGTTCCCTGTCATTTCTGATCCTGTCACAGACCAAGTTCAGCTGCTTTGTCTAGAGCAGCGGTTCTCAACCTGTGGGTCGCCACCCCTTCGGGGGTCGAACGACCCTTTCACAGGGGTAGCCTAAGACCATCGGAAAACATATATAATTACATATTGTTTTTGTGATTAACCACTATGCTTTATGTTCAATTTGTAACAATGAAAATACATCGTGCATATCAGATATTTACATTACGATTCATAACAGTAGCAAAATTACAGTTATGAAGTAGTAGCGAAAATAACTTTATGGTTGGGGGTCACAACATAAGGAACTGCATTAGGAAGGTTGAGAACCACTGGTCTAGAGCATCTGTCGGGGCACCACAGAAGACAAGGAGAAAGCACGGACTCACATTTTCTAGACGATGCTAGAGCCTGGTGCCACCCACTGTGGCATGGCTTCGATACTCTTTACTGTGGAAAGATGTAAGCTCCAGGGGACAGGAAGAGATCTGATATTCATGTCCCTGACATGGCATAAGGGGGAAATTTAGGGGCTCCTGCGGCCCCACACCCCTATTATCGCAGACCAGTGGCTTTCCGTGCCTGGAGGCAAGAGGGGTCACATTGCTGTTGCCCTGGGACTGGGTTCTTTCTCAATCTTAGCTCTGCCATTAACTAAATATGATTTTGTACGTATCTCTCTTTTTACTTTTTATTTTTTTATTAAATATTTATTGTTGAAAGTATTACATATGTCCTCCTTTTTCTCCATTGACCCCTTCTAGTCTGCCTCCCCCTCTCCCCCTCACCC